TAAAACATATGCTGGATAAGTTGGCGGTTCATTCCGCTGTGGCGACCCCTGATATATAGGGACTAAAGCTAACTGCCAAGAAGTCACTGCGTTTGGAGGACAAAGGAGTCCCCTATATGTAAACTGTGGCTTGGAGAAATTTACATTTGGAGCGAATTAGTACTGTCTGAAAAGAAAATGGGTGGCGGAGCGGGTAGCACATTCGCCTCACAGCAGGAAAGTTGCTGAATCGAGCCTCGGCTGGGCCAGTTGGCGTTTTTGTGTGGAGTTTGCATGTTCTCCCTGTGTTCATGTGGGTTTCCTCACTGTAAAAAAACAAAACCCCCATTTGTTTAGCACACTGTACTTTTTTTGTCTTATATACTAAGAATTGTGAATATGAATTGATTACATAAAAATATATGTTATGTCAACAATATTCCCTAAAATGTTTTGTCTACATGTTTAACTGAGTTTTCTGGACAAACATTTTTGTGTTGAACAATAATGTTGATAATTAAATAATTCGCGCATGCGAGATGTGACGATCAAAAGCTAAGCTTGTTTATCAGTTGCTTGTAGGAGGAGTGACACAGTGGCGCAGTTGGTAGCACAGTTGCCTCACAGCAAGAAAGTCGCTGGTTCAAGACCTGGCTGGGTCAGTTGGCCCTGTGTTCAAGTGGGTTACCTCTGGGTGCTGCGGTGTCCGCCACAGTTCAAAGACATGAGGTACAGGTGTCTGAGTGTGAATGGGTGTTTGCCATTACTGGGTTGCAGCTGGAAGGGCATTGGCTGTGAAAAACACATGCTGAATAAATTGGCGGTTCATTCCACTGTGGTGACCCCTGATAAATAAAGGGACAAAAGCAAAATGAATGAATGGGTGAAATATAAAGTTTGTGTTCATTTTTAAGTAAAATAATTAAAAACAGGATGATATGCCAATTAGAACTAATTACTTATTTTGCAAATTTGAAAAAAAATCATCCACTAAACAGAAAAAAAAATGAATTGACTCAATAGCAGTAACTGTTGTTCAGTTGATGTGACAATAATATCTTTATTAGTAAAATACAATAATCAACATTGCATAAATAAAGAAAATTATGTTAGCTGAACAAAAAAATGTTACTGAGAAAAACTAAAAAACCGTTGTTGAGACAACTCAAAGTTCTTACTGCATCAAGTTGCCTTACATTTTTATGTTTTCTCAACAATTAATTTTTTACAGTGCTCCGGGTGCTCTGGTTTCCCCCAAAAGTCCAAAGACATGCGCTATAGGGGAATTGGGTATGCTAAAAAACTGACCGTGTGTGTGAATGGGAGTGCATGGGTGTTTCCCAGTGATGGGTTGCAGCTGGAAGGGCATCAGCTGCGTAAAACATATGATTGATAAGTTGGTTGTTCATTCCACCGCAGATTAATAAAGGGACTAATCCGAAAAGCAAGAAAGAAATGAAAAGGAAAAAAACTTGAACAATTTGACAAAATCTGGCATCCTTTTATTTGTTATCTTGAAAAAAAAACTTGTGGAATAATGCATCATTTCTGTAATGTTTTAATTATTGTCATTATACTCAATAATTATATACTCAATACTATTGTCTGTTTTTATTTTTTTAAATTGCATGTTATGTGGGTGTTTTTTTACTTATTAATATGATTTTATATTGATATTTTTATTTTATTATGATACTGTTTTCCTTTTTCTTTTTCTAAGCTTTGCCTTTGTTATATATGTGGACAAAATATGTAAAACATTGAATCCTTTTCTGTCTAAATCTGTGTTATCAGTAAAAACTTATTTGACATAAAGACATTACACTGTAAAAAAAATATCCTTAAATTAAATAATTAAAATAATTAGAGTAAAATTAAAATAATTAAAGTAAAAAATAATTAGCAGGGTTTTTTGTTAATTCTGTTTTTTTTTTTATTAAATTATTTATGCTTTTGAATTGCATCATGGTAGCTTGATCTTTCTTCCAACACCTTTTACCTTGAAAACTTTGAAAAAAAGTGATTTTTATGAACATTTTTATAGTTTGCAGTGCTATATTGTATGGGTTGGTGTTGTATATTACGCTACAAAAACCTTGTAATAAACTGCAGCACATAATTCAACAGTATGATAGACATCCTAAGTATTGGAAAATAGATGTTTATATCTGCATGTAGCTTAATTTGTATAGCTTGACCTACAGTAACCTCTAAAATAGTCACTAAATATAAAACTCAAAACACTGGAAACGCACGCATTTTATTAATAAATTAGATGTACTTTATGTATATTCACAAATTTGATTCACAGAAGCATATATTGGCAACTACTACTAAAATAGTTCACCCCGATCATCATTATATAATTCACACACCGTTTAAACCTTACATTTTTGTGTAAAATAGCAGAGAATATACTATGATTTTAAGCATTTTAAGTAGTTTATATTCATCTTAGACAACATAATACCAATATTTGTTGAAATAACACTGTAATAACAAATGTCTGGGTTGGTTTTGCTCTAAATGACACTAATTATTAGATGTTATTTAAATACATTCACAAATTTGCTTCACTAAAGCATGCATTACCGAACTACTACCAAAAAAGTTGACCCCTGATCGTCAATGTAAAATTCCCACACTGTTTAGAACTCATTTTGAGTAAAATAACAGAAAATATACAGTGATTTTACGCCTTTTTATATAGTTTACATTTATTTTAGACAACATAATACTAATGTTTGCTGAAATAACACTGTAATAACAAATGTCTGGATTGGTTTTGCTCTAAATGACACTAATTATTACATGTCATTTAAATATATTCACAAATTTGATTCACTGAAGCATGTATTGCCAAACTACTACCAAAATAGTTGACCCCTGATCGTCAATGTGCAATTCGCAGTTTAAACCTCATTTTTTGGGTAAAATAACAGAAAATATACAGTGATTTTAAGCATTTTTAAGTAGCTTACATTTAATTTGGACTGCATAATACCAATATTTGTTGAAATAACACTGTAATAACAAATGTCTGGATTGGTTTTGCTCTAAATGACACAAATTATTTGATACATTCACAAATTTGCTTCACTGAAGCATGTATTACCAAAGAAATTGACGGCAGATCGTCAATGTATAATTCGCACACAGTTTAGATGTCATTTTGTGTAAAATAACACAGTATAAACTGTGATTTTAGGCAAATTTATATAGTTTACATTCATCTTAGACAACAGAATACCAATATTTGTTGAAATAACACTGTAATAACAAATGTCTGGGTTGGTTTTGCTCTAAATGACACTAATTATTAGATGTTATTTAAATACATTCACAAATTTGCTTCACTAAAGCATGCATTACCGAACACTACCAAAAAAGTTGACCCCTGATCGTCAATGTAAAATTCGTAAACTGTTAAGAACTCATTTTGAGTAAAATAACAGAAAATATACAGTGATTTTACGCCTTTTTATATAGTTTACATTTATTTTAGACAACATAATACTAATGTTTGCTGAAATAACACTGTAATAACAAATGTCTGGATTGGTTTTGCTCTAAATTACACTAATTATTACATGTCATTTAAATATATTCACAAATTTGATTCACTGAAGCAGGTATTGCCAAACTACTACCAAAATAGTTGAACCCCGATCGTCAATGTAAAATTCGCACACTGTTTAAACCTCATTTTTTGGGTAAAATAACAGAAAATATACAGTGATTTTAAGCATTTTTAAGTAGTTTACATTTAATTTGGACTGCATAATACCAATATTTGTTGAAATAACACTGTAATAACAAATGTCTGGATTGGTTTTGCTCTAAATGACACAAATTATTTGATACATTCACAAATTTGCTTCACTGAAGCATGTATTACCAAAGAAGTTGACCGCCGATCGTCAATGTATAATTCGCACACTGTTTAGATGTCATTTTGTGTAAAATAACACAGTATAAACTGTGATTTTAGGCAAATTTGTATAGTTTACATTCATTTTAGACAACACAATACAAATATTTGTTGAAATAACACTGTAATAACAAATGTCTGGATTATTTTCGCTCTAAATGACTCTAATTATTACATGTCATTTAAATATATTCACTAATTTGCTTCACTGAAGCATGTATTGCCAAACTACTACCAAAAAAGTTGACCCCCGATCGTCAATGTGCAATTCACACAGTTTAAACCTAAGTTTTTGTGTAAAATTACACAGAATTAACTGTGATTTGAGGCATTTTATATAGTTTACATTCATTATAGACAACACAATACCAATATTTGTTGAAATAACACTGTAATAACAAATGTCTGGATTGGTTTAGCTCTAAATAACACTTATTATTAGATGTCATTTAAAAACATTCACAAATATGCTTCACTGAAGCAGGTATTATCAAACTACATCCGAAAAACTAGTTGTCCCCCGATCGTCAATGTATAAATCACACACTGCTTTAAACCTCATTAAATCACACTGTAATAATAGCAAATGTCTGGTTTTGCTCTAAATGACACTATTTTATTTGAACAATGGATTAAATGTCATAGAATACAACTTAAAAAATAATATTACTGTTAAATAATAACAAATAGAATAACACATTAAGTAAATAATCTATATAAACTGAGGAAATTCAGATGCTCTCTTGATATTTTCCATACACAAACACACACAATCATTTTTTATCGAACATTATCTGTCTTGTCGTGCTAAACAATCGTTATTATATTCGTTTATTTGATCATTTGGATACTTTTGAGATGATAATAATACAATATTAAGTCTATTAAGTTATCTAAACAATTGCAATACAGTTAATTTTAATAACTTAAACAGAAAGTTTAAATCGTCATTTACAATATTAAGTGATTAATATGTAAATATTTACGATACAGACATTTTAATTACTTGAAAGACACGTTAAAATAACTTTACCTGCAATACTAAACCTGACCCACAGAGTTCTCCGCTCTTATCACCTTCTCGACGGAAGTGATGCAATACGTGCTGACGTGGCCGGAAACCCGCCATCTTGAGGGAGGAAACGCCTCGAACTTAAGGAGGAAACTTGGAACTGTGAGTTTTGTTTTGTTTTTTTAACTCATCAATTTTCTACTTTTACTCTTTATTAGACGTATTTGCTCTATGGAAACAGTTGCCGAATATTCGCGAAATGTTGTCCGTGATTAAAACGGAAGGCGTGCGATATATTCGTAGTTAAACTGAATTAATGATGTGTTTGTGACAAAGGAAACAGCAGTATGGGGACTTCAGTTAATTTTACTCTTTAAATAATAACTTGTGTGATCTGTAAATGGGGTATATTTGTTAAACAAAACTTTAAATACTATGCCGGAGTAATATAAACTAAAAACGCGAAATTTCCGGAGAGTTTTAACGTTAATTATTATATTATAATTTAATAAAGCGTGGTTTTCCCTTTAAGAAAACCAGAAAAGCCACACATGATAACAGATGTTAAAGTCAAAATTAATAAAATATTTTAATAATAAAACTTATCTAACAGGACAGCTTGGACAAGCATTTAAAAATAAAAATAAATAATAATAAAATCTGAAGGTGTTAAGAGGAAAACATAACACATCCTAACTTAAATAACTATATTTTATTGCTTTATTAAATTTAAAGTTAAACTCTGTTAAACACACAAGAAGATATTTAGAAAAATGTTGAAAACTGGTAATCATCGACTTCCCTAGTATGTGTTTTTCCTATGGATGTCAATGGTTACACGTTTTTAGCTTTCTTCTAAATGTCATATTTTACCTCCTTATTAAATTTTACGTTTAAACTCTCCAGAAGTTTTGCGTTGTTAGTTTATTTTACTTAACTTTATTTTACATAAAGTTGTATATAACAAATATAACACATTTATGGATCACACATGTTATTATTTATAGAGTAAAGTTAAATGAAGTCACCATTAATTACTCTCCATCAAATAGCTCCACACATTTATGAATTTGTTTCTTCTGGTAAACACAAAATATGACATTTATAAGAAAGCTGAAAACTTGTAACCATTGATATGTATAGGAAAACACATACTATAAATATCGATGGTTACTGGTTTCCAACATTTTTCAAGATATCTTCTTGTTTGTTTAACAGAAGAAAGAATTCAAACAGGTGTTAAACACGTAAAAGGTGACTAAAACGATGATGATTTTCATTTTTGTGTAAACTGTCTCTTTAAGAAAACCTGGAAAGGCTACACATGATAACAGATGTTAAAGTAAAAACGAATAAATTATCTTAATAATAAAACTAATCTAACTCGACAGCTTGGACAAGCATTTTAATTAAAAATAAACAATAATAAAGTCTGACGGTGTTAAGAGGATAACATTACTAAAACATTCCAACTTAAACAAATATATATATTTTTAATCTCTTTATTAATTTTTACGTTTAAACTCTCCAGAGGTTTCATGTTTTTATTTTATATTACTCCGGCATAATATTTAAAGCTGCGTTCAACTTGTGTGATCCGTAAATGTGTTATTATTTATAGAACACAAAACACAAAATATGACATTTTAAAGAAAGCTGAAAACCTGTAACCATTGATATGCATAGGAAAACACATACTGTAAAAGTCAATGGTTACCGGTTTCCAACATTTTTTTTAAGATACCTTCTTGTTTGTTTAACAGAAGAAAGAACCTCAAACAGGTTTTAAACAAGTAAAAGGTGACTAAATGGATGACAGAATTTTCATGTTAGGGTGAACTGTCCCTTTAAGAAAACCATGAAAAGCCTCACATGATAACAGATGTTAAAGTCAAAACGAATAAATTATTTTATTAATAAAACTAATCTAACTCGACAGCTTGGACAAGCATTTATAACTAAGAATAAACAATAATAAAGTCTGACGTGTTATGAGGACAACATAAAACATCTTAACTTAAATAACCATATATATTTTATTGCTTTAATAAATTTAAAGTTAAAACTGTTAAACACACAAGAAGATATTTAGAAAAATGTTGGAAACTGGTAACCACTGACCTCTATAGTATGTGCTTTTCCTATGGATGTCAATAGTTACAGGTTTTCAGCTTTTTTTTTTCAAATGTTGTTTTGTATCTCTTTATTAAATTTTACGTTAAAACTCTCCAGAAGTTTCGCATTTTTAGTTTATTTTACTCTGGCATAATATTTATTGTTGTGATTAACTAATATAACACATTTACGGATCACACGAGTTATTATTATTTATAGAGTGAAATTAACTAATGTCACCATTTGTTAATCACAATCAAGCAGTTCCACACATTTATGAATTTGTTTCTTCTGTTGAACACAAAATATGACATTTAGAAGAAAGCTGAAAACCTGTAACCATTGACATCCATAGGAAAACACTTACTATGAAAATCGATGGTTTCCGGTTTACAACATTTTACAAAATATCTTCTTGTGTGTTTAACAGAGTTTTAATGTTAATTTTAATAAAGTGATAAAATTTTTTGTGATGTTGTCTTAACACCGTCAGACTTTATTATTGTTTACTTTTATTTTTTAAATGCTTGTCCAAGCTGT